AATTGATATGAATAACTCCCCCTATTTGTCGAAATGAATTACAAAAGTTTTTACCAGGAACGTAGTACTGTTGTTAGGCAAAACTATTTTTGGCAAATGGCAAAAGTCGAAACTAAATCCGGCAAAAGTCAAAACTGGCAAAACTCTGGCGAAATGGCGAAACTATGGCAAAATGGTGAAACTCTGGCAAAACCTTGGTAAAGCTAAAACGCCTGGAGAAAGTCAAATACAGCGAAGATTAAATCCTCTAAGTCTTTAGAAAGACTGAGCCATGTTGGTAAATTAAAATATTTTGCGTATGGCTATTAAGCACAGCATGTGACTTATAATATACAGAAGCAATAAACAAAGCAATAACCTTTTGTTTGTATTTGAGTACTATTAAAAAAAAATTACCAGACTTCAGGCTTTTGAACTTATAAATTCGTCTTGAAAATTCAAAGCATGAAATCCTGTTTTCTTTTAGTAATACTATCAATGTATTAATATTATTCATGTAAAATAAACATATCTAAATATTTAAATAAATTTATTGTTATAGTGTTAAGATTTTTCTTTTTAACATTTTAATTAAATATTATCATATGTAAATAATTTAACATTATTATTATTGACAATTATTTCTCGATGCTTTATTCTAAATCTCAGAGGAAATAATTGTTGTATTATTGACTTATACCATACAGTGCTGCATACAGTACCGGGTATTTACAAAAAAGCCTGTTTAGATTAAATTATCGAGAGATGGAAGGATAACACAAATAATCGTCACTGATCACTATATACTTTGCTATTGAACATATTAAACCCAATGAAAGATCGCACTATTAATTATGAAAACTAAACCACAAATCGTTTGTAAAAAAAAAAGGGATACTATTCCAGAGGGTACTATATGCAGCGCTATATGATAATAGATCAAATATAGTAAAATTTAGATTATTGATCAAAAAACATCGTATACAGCATGATTATGCACATATACGTGACAAAATAAATTTGTGTTAGGTTAAAATTAAATATTAGGTTGGGTAAAAAGGCTATGGGTCAAAATCCAGACAAGCAAAATCCTGACAAAAAAATCCCGACAGCAAAAATCACGGCAGCAAAAATCACGGCAGCAAAAAAACTGACAGTTACAAATCCCGACAATTACAAATCCCGACAATTAAAAATTCTGATGAAAATAATCTAACTCTAGCCTAATTCTTATCTAAAGTGACCTAACCTTAAAGTTAATTAAATTATAAGAGGCTACTTTGCTTTAAACATACACATATTCGAAATTTTCTACTTGAAAATTCTGATTGTGATTTCTGATTGTTGGGATTTTGATTATTGGGATTTTTTGGCGGGATTATGATTTGTTGGGATTGTAGTAATTATATCTATTCCAAAATCTCTATTCTTGTTTCTTTACTAGTTTTTTTTTTTTTTAATTTTTTTTTTGGCAAAAGTCGAAACTAGTTTTGACTTTTGCCAATGGCAAAACCTCTAGGTTTTGCCTAACAACACTAGAACGTAGTAATGAAATTACTGAGTGTATGGTTAACCGACAACTAGAATGGTTAGTAAACAAATTCCGGATTATGATTGGATAGAAGTCAGACATGTGAAACTATTATAGAATTATAGAAATTTAAGTTAATTTAAAGATAAACAGTACTTGAAATGAAATGTATAAGGCAATTATTCATGTTCTTATAATTATTGAAAAGTTTTTTACTAAACTCGAATTGCCGGTATATATCTCCTAATTATATTACGTTCCTGATTTGAGCGCGACTACGTCGCGCAGCTACCTAATTAATACATCCATTTCTTTAAGTGCTTGAGATTTGGATAAATAGGTTTATATTACATTCTTACCTGGAATATTTTCAAAATTCAATTTTTGGTATAATTTGAGATTTATCGGCTATAATAATTCCATTTCATTTATTGCTATTCTTAATAGACATATTCCCCGTTCTATCATTGTAATGTTGACACATTCAACATTATTAAACTTTCGTTTTAACACTTGTTTAGCAAGTTGGTGTGTTTAGTTTGTGTGAAAGTTTATGGGAAAGGCAGTTTTTGTTAGCAAATAAATCTTGACAAGAAATAAAAAAAAGCTCCAGATATGAAATGGACCTTTATACCACATGAATAGGTGCTAATATTAAAAAAAAAGCTAGAATATGGTCAAGAATTCGTCAACTGGTTTAATATAACTCAAGATTCTAAAAACTCGATAGTGTTGCGAAAGCTTTTCAATACATTCATATCTTTGAAAACCGACTTATAGAAGATTTGCTAACACCTAAACGTTTGACAATTTTTTGAATCGATAAGCATTCTAAATTGTTTTTTGGAGTTTCGAGCTTCGGGTTTCGAATGAGATTTTGAATTTCGGATGAGGTTTCAGAAACTATAATCCGAAACCCGGATTTGGCAAAAAAGTTTCGGTGACCAACTCTAATGTTTATACAGTCAGACCACTCTAAATGCAACCTCCCTAAATGCATAGTCTATGAAAAACCTTTCTAAATGCACGGTCTTGTGTATGATACATATAGATTTTTACCTCCCTAAATGCAGGATTTTTTGATTTTTTATATACTATGCATTTAGGAAGGACTGACTGTATTAGAAAATGTTCTTTGTACTTATGAAATAAAATAAAATTATTTCAAAAACATTTTTATTGAATTAAAGCTGAATATATTTGATTATTAAATATCATTAAATATTATTCATTCTAAATCATTTTAGTGAATAATTAATTCGGGTTACCCACTAGCAATGGATTGATAGATACGGATATAACTTATACTATGAAATTAAATAGGCATTGTATAATGGTAAGTGTTGTGAACATGATAGCTTAAGTTAAATACTCGAGTAATAAACGTTCTTTATACTCACGAACTATATTGAGATATATTACTGTATCAGGTAATGGTGAATGTCAATATCATTTTTTGAACATCTCAGTTGATAAAAGATATTTTACTCACCGGCCAACATCTGACTCATACTTAGAACCGCTAAAAGAAGAATCTACCTTGTACATTGCAAGTTACAATACAAGAACAAACGATGTTGAATGTTAATAAGGCGCCGAGGCTTATTGAGCCCTATATGTATATAAGGTATGTACTTGTATTAACTGTTAAATTGACAATTAGCAAGAAAGTAAACTGACCAGAAGAATGACTAAAGTCGTGATAAGTGGCATAGTAAATTATCAAACCGATTCGAAAGTGTATGTACTTATATATTTTAAAGGCAGGTTTGTGAAACATTAAGCTGCTAGGAATCGAAAAAAAAATAAAAATAAAAAAACTAAATAAATACTCACAGGTAAAGTGCAATCAGTGATTATTTTTTGCTGTGCGGACTGTGTGCAGCACACAGAAACAAAATATTGCACTCATTTTCTTTTGAACAGATGTGCGGATGCCGCACAGAAAAAATTACCATTTTGTAAGTAGTTCGCACACTTGTAAATAGTTGCTTATAGTTTTTCTTAATTTGCCGCACAGAAAAGTTTCTAAATTGTGCGGTATTCGCACAGTAAATTTTAACTGAAAAATTAACACTGAGTGCAATAGATTTTTTTGTCATGAAACCTACATTCCCTTTTGTCAATATTATCATACGTATTACAAATTCGCATAGATGCTCTAGAATAAATAAACATAATCTTAGCAAAGTTCAGATCGAATTACTTGATTAAATAGTGAATGTTCACTGCGCATAACGTAAATGAATATATAAGTAATAAATTATCATGATTTAATCAATAAGTAATGAAAAAACATCACCCGAGTTATTAGATTAAAACTTATTCACAGCATTCGTCGCCTATATGTTATTTGTGTTAATTTATTAAGTCCACTAGAGATTCTTTATATTTATCATCATATAGTAAGTTTTCCCATGTTACTTAGTAAATTTCTCCACATCTTAATGCAATTTCTTATTTTTCTCAATTTCTAGCAATCTAATATTATCATTATTAATTGCTATTCATAAAAGATATTATATAGTTATTGAATGTGTAGTAGACAATAAAAATATACTATTAAGTGGTTTTAATATCATTAATTGTGCTATAACTAGGTGTTGTCAATTTAACTAATTGAACCTAGAAGTTAGATCAATTGGACATATGTCCCATTTCAATTATATTATGTTCAATTGGTCCAAATGGTGGTCTAATTAGTAGGGTTGTTAATGGGTTGGGTTGGGTTGGTTTGGGTTAACCAAATCTTCAACCCACTCCACTAAATTAGACTTACTCCAATGTTTTGCTCTGGGTTACTCCATTGTACTACGGGTTGCTCCAGGTTGCTTTAAATTTAAAGGCATAATTTTAAACTCGCTCCAACTTGGGTTGGGTTCTACTCTGGAGTGCTCCAGAGTAAGCTACTCCATTAACAACCCTACTAATTAGTCCAATTGATAGCATTGGACTCAATGCCATATGAATTTACTTAAATAATCGAATTTTCTATGAGCAAAAGTTTACTTTTAAAGATCTGCTTTGCGTTATTCGACATACGGATAAAGATGGTCTTTTAAATCATCAATAGATACCATATAATATATTATACAAATAAACTTTTAATCATACTTTTAATTATTTAAAACCACTACATTTATTCTTAAATTTATAATTACCTCTAAGTATAAATCTACAAATCTACGTATTTGGATCAGGAAAAAATATGTATTAGGCCATGCAAAATTAATTAATTGGTTTTTGTAACCCAGCCGGATCAAAATTTAGAAACTTGTAAAAAATTTTTTTATATGTTTTAATAACTGGGTGGGTTTTTAAAAAAAGTTTTATAAAATTTACACAAATGAAATTTAAAAAAAAAAGTCAGCCGGCTGGCTCTATTTAAAAGTTTCATGTTATGAAAACCAATGTGGACTGGCTATTTATATATAGACATAGTGATCACCATAGTACATATGATTGTGTAACATATTTTGGGTATACATAATCAGGGAAGATCTCCAAGAGGACTAAACTCATTTTGGCTTTCTATCAGCCATGAGTGCATAAGTATCGTACTGGACACGGTTTTTTCACTAATAGACGCTCTATCATTAGTGATCGTAAAGCCAGCCTTTGAAAATGCTCTTTCGCTAGAAACACTTGAAGGTTTGATGCCTAAATAATCGTGTGCCATTCTACTGAGTATTGGAAATCTTGTTGATAACGATCCCCAAAATAGTATTCCATTATTTTCTTTCTGTTCATTGTTAATTGTGAATTCTTCAAGATCCTCTTTTTCATATAACTCCAATTCTAATTCAATTGTGTTCCCATTGTGTTTTCATTTTTTTGATATTCTCCTTCTAGGAAATAAAAAATCATTTGTAGGATAATCATCATTAATTTCAATTGTTTCAATAGCTTCAATATTTGAGGATTCCGCATTTGTATATTTTGTTCCGTGAGAAATAATCTTTTTCCAAATATTATTAACAAAAAGTTCCGCTTCATTCTCATCATATTTACCAACTTCAATTAATGTCACCTTTAAATGTTCCAACTTATACCTTGGGTCAAGTACGTGCGCAATTATAACATGATCGATAATTACGTTCCAATATTTATCAAATTTTTTCTTCATACGGTAACCCATCCTAGCGTTAGCTTTCTTAATATGTTGACCAATCTCTAATATCACCATTATTGCCTCAGAAATTGGATTACATTGTTCTTTTGAAAGAACTAATGTGGCGCTTTCAAATGGCTTTAAGAGTTGACAGAAGGATATAAGCGCCACGAACTCTTTATTGTCTAAGCAAGGAGGCATGGAGGATTCTTTTGAACACATCTCATAAATGGCCGGACGTAGATGAATATACCTCTCAAACATAGCTAACGTAGAGTTCCAACGCATGTCTACTTCAAGGATAGGTCGCAAAGGCCTTATTCTAGAAATTCGACAGTATGATTCCAGCATTTCTATTCGGCTACTAGATAACGGATTAGATAAGTATTTCATAAGTTTATGAACTTTCTCTCTTAACGGGCTTATTTCCTTTAAGCCCTCTTTAACTATAAGATTGAGGATGTGGCATATGCATCCTAAAAAAAAAAAAAAAAAATTTTAAAAAAATTTAAAAACATTATTATTATTACTGTAATGTGCCATATAACGATCCAGGTCTGTTACATTCCACCAATTTTCAACCCTAGAGGGTCTTTTGTATGGGTGTGGGTATGATAATTGGGGGTTTATTCTATTTCTTTATTTTTTTCTTAGTATTTTCCTATTTGTATACCTGGGTCTCTTACATTTTATCAAAATTTCATCCTATATTATAGACCCAGGTCTAATTCATGGGGGATCTGATATATAGGGGGATCTTTTATATGGCACATTACGGTAATTAAAAATTAAATAAAAACAAGCAAACCTATTGATATTAATTCTTGATTCGGCAACTGATTCTTGAGCAGCCGACTTACAGCTTTATTTGTCGTAGTATTATCCATGGTAAGTGCGAATATTTTTTCTTTAATAGAATATGCTTCTAATGTGGTTTTTATTGTTGATAATATATCCTCTGCTGTTTGGCCAGATTTTTGGAAACTTAAAATTATATTAACTACCCTCCAATCGTCACTAATCCACGATCCTGTAACAACGATATAATGACACTTATGAACGGTTGAATGCCACCCATCACAAGTTAGCGAAATTCGTCTGGGAGACGTTGCTAGGATATTCTTGATAAATTCAAATCTTAAATCGAATATATTGCCTGTAAGGTGCCGTGATATTGTTGTCGAATGCGGAATTTTATATGAATTTGTAACATAACAGAGATTTCTGGCCACTTGATGAAACAATGGGTTATCAAGAATACTGAAAGACATCCCTGTTCTAATGACCAAGTCAACTATTGACTTATCCATTTCTTCTTTTGTAACCTGTCGGAATTCATCGCTTCGAAACTCGGATATTGGAGATTGAGGACATTTCAAAGTATGTTCTTTTAAGTGTGATCTACTTGTTTTTATAGAAAACGTCTTATTGTTACAATAGAGGCATTTCCAAGCTTTTGGTTTATTTTCTTCTTCGACGGCTTTCCAGTGGTCCTTAGTGCAATACGTATTACAGACTATCTCTGTTCCGGTTCCAGTTGGTGTTGAAATACTAGAAACTGCATCATTAGGAGATAATGTCGAATCTTCCATCATCAAAAAATATTTTAGAGAAAACAATATAAAGTAAGAACAAAAGCAAAAATAAAATGAGAAAGTAGATAAAAGGCGATATAAGACAATAAGCAATATAAAACGAAATATAAGGTATGCAAAGAATTATGATGCTATTTATACTTTCTTTTTTTTTTTTTTTTATCTATCTCTAATACAATCTATTTGGTTTTGAGCTGAGTATTTAATTTATTTGACTTGGTCGCTTATTTGAATCACGTATCTTATTTATTAATTCGATTACTTATTTGTTTTATTTGACTCGTTCGCTTATTTGAACTGTAGGTATTTACTTATTTGACTCGTTCGCTTATTTGAACTGTAGGTATTTACTTATTTGACTTGATCGATTATTTGAATCATGGTCTCATTTATTTAATTCATTTACTTACTTAATTATTTATTTTATTTATTTAACTCGGTCACTTATTTGAACTGTGGCTATTTAATTTATTTAACTTAGTACTTATTTGAACTGTGACTATTTGATTTATTTGACTTTATCGCTTATTTGAACTGTGGTATTTGCTTATTTGACTCGATCGCTTATTTGAATCATGGTCTCATTTATTTAATTCAATTACTTAATTATTTTATTTAATTTATTTGACTTGGTCGCTTATTTGAATCACGTATTTTATTTATTAATTCGATTACTTATTTGATTTATTTGACTCGTTCGCTTATTTGAACTGTAGGTATTTACTTATCTGATTGATCGATTATTTGAATCATGATCTCATTTATTTAATTCAATTACTTACTTAATTATTTTTTTATTTATTTAACTTGGTCACTTATTTGAACTGTGGCTATTTAATTTATTTAACTTGGTACTTATTTGAACTGTGGCTATTTGATTTATTTGACTTTATCGCTTATTTGAACTGTGGTATTTGCTTATTTGACTCGATCGCTTATTTGAATCATGGTCTCATTTATTTAATTCAATTACTTACTTAATTATTTTATTTAATTTATTTAACTTGGTCGCTTATTTGAATCACATATTTTATTTATTAATTTGATTACTTATTTGATTTATTTGACTCGTTCGCTTATTTGAACTGTAGGTATTTACTTATTTGGCTTGATCGATTATTTGAATCATGGTCTCATTTATTTAATTCAATTACTTACTTAATTATTCATTTAATTTATTTGACTTGGTCGCTTATTTGAATCACATATTTTATTTATTAAGTCGATTACTTATTTGATTTATTTGACTCGTTCGCTTATTTGAACTGTAGGTATTTACTTATCTAATTGATCGATTATTTGAATCATGGTCTCATTTATTTAATTCAATTACTTACTTAATTATTTATTTAATTTATTTGACTTGGTCGCTTATTTGAATCACATATTTTATTTATTAAGTCGATTACTTATTTGATTTATTTGACTCGTTCGCTTATTTGAACTGTAGGTATTTACTTATCTAATTGATCGATTATTTGAATCATGGTCTCATTTATTTAATTCAATTACTTACTTAATTATTTTTTTATTTATTTAACTTGGTCACTTATTTGAACTGTGGCTATTTAATTTATTTAACTTGGTACTTATTTGAACTATGGCTATTTGATTTATTTGACTTTATCGCTTATTTGAACTGTGGTATTTGGTTTATTTGACTCGATCACTTATTTGATTCATGTATCTTATTTATTTAATTCAATTACTTACTTGATTTGAATTTTGTGTTTGTAACATAGATCATTATCTTAATTTTTAATATGCTTAGTTTTACTTTATTAAAAAAGTATAAAGTTCTCATTTTATATTTATTTAGCAATAAGTGGTATAAACTAATCATATTTAATTATAAGTTGGAACGAGTTTGCAGACCACCTATATATGCAATTTTAGTTACGATACTGTTAAACCTTTCGTTTAGGCTCAATTTATTCATATCGATTTAGCGATCTATATATTGTCTAAAATTGCTCTACACGATTTACAAACTAAGTCAGTTGATGAAATCATAATGCGAAACTCTATATTATAACAAAATTAATGAAGAAATTTTCAAGATTAGGTCGTAATGCTAAATCAAATCAAAAGCTTTATGATATAATGCAAGAATTGGCATATATAATTAAAAATATCGTTGTCTACGTTCCTGATTTTAGTGCAACAGCATCGTACATCTACCTTATACGTAATGATAAAATTATCTTACATGTAAAAATATACACCGATCATTGCCGAAATCAAATAACTTAATAGAATCAGCCGAAAAATCATTCGGCAAATTTTTATCAGGTGTCCCAGAATTTATGAAAACAGCTGTAATGTCCATATTGCCTGGTACTTAGTGCCTATAGTGCCCAGTACTTAGTGCCTATAGTGCCGGCACTTGATGCCTATAGTGTTCGGCACTTGGTGCCTATAGTGTTCAGCACTTAGTGCCTATAGTAGTGCCTATAGTGCCTGGCACTAGTGCCTGTGCCTATCATAGTGCCTGGCACTTAGTGCCCGTGCCTATCATAGTGTCCGGCACTTTATGCCCATGCCTTTAATGGTGCCCGGCACTTTGTGCCCATGCCTACAATAGTGCCTGGCATTTTATGCCTATAGGCATAGGCATGGCATGAGGCACCTAGTGCTGGCATAATGCCCATATGCCCAACATGGGCATTTGCAGACCCTTACTTTTTTCATATCTTGTAACAAAATCCATACTTCCTTATTCTTTTCTTGTGCCTTCTCTATTATCATATTTAGTATATATATCGGCTGCTCTGTTGAATTACCTGGCAGGCCTGCGAAATTTGGCCCTTTGAGTATGTTTTTTTCTATAAACACTTTGGCTAATTTCCTTGTTACTACTTTTGTAACAACTTTTCTAAATGTCTCTATTAATGCTATTGGCCTAATGTTGTTTAGACAGTAACCCCAGTCTATGTCTTTCAAGATTGAATATATTTGTGCAACTTTCTACTTTTTTGGTATGTCTTCTTTTTCTAAAATCAGATTTGCAAACTTTTTGAAAATCTTTTGTGTTCTTTTCTCTGCATGTTTTATTAATGTATAGCTTATATCTGATATTCCTGTAGCTGTATTTGCTTTAAGCTCTCTAAGTATTTTTTTTCATTTACTTTCTTCTATTTTTTCTTCTACTTTCCTATACCAGGTCTCATTGATTCAATCTTTCAGATTGTATACTTTTTTCTATTCTTCTGTCATTTCTTTGAGTTTGGTTTTTTGTTTTCTGAACTGGTTTTTAAAATATACTGCCAAACCATTTAGAACTGTGTCTGATTCTGATATTAGGTAGACTTCTTCTTTGTCTTGCGTTATAAATTTTTCTAGAACAATCTTTTTGTATGGCTTGTTTAGTAGGCTGGCAATTATTCAACTTTGATCTGTTCTAATCATTTCACATCTTCTGTTTATATTTTCTTCTATTTGTTTTTTTTGTGTTTGTTTTCATTCCTTTCTTCTTTTCTTCTTAAGTATTCTTTGCCAGCCTTTTATATCATCTATCCAAACTTCTGACTACTGCCTATGTAGTTTTGGCAATATTGCTCTTAGCTCTTTCTCTATGATTTGAAGTTTGTTATTTATTTCAACTCCTTCATTCTTTTCCACTTCTTGATTCTTCTTACTTCTTGCTTTCTTGATTATTTGCTAAAGTTTAATGATGTGTTTGTGTTTCATTGTCTTTTTCTGGTTTTGTCTTCTGTTCAACTTAGTGTTGAAGATTATTTTTTGGAGATTTGCTTGTTTGTTGCTTTGATTATAGCTTCTTCTATTGCATCTTACATCTGGTTTAGTATCTCTGTACTATATTCTGTAATTGTATTATTATCTTCTAACTGTTTTAAAACTCTTTTCTATTCTAGCTAATTTTGTAGCTCTCTTGCATACTCTTCTCAGTCTTCTTGTTTTGCTTCTTTATATAGGTATATTGTTCTTGTTTGGTCTTTTCACTTGATTCCTGCCTTACTGCAGTTTGCAATTATGTGTTCTACTCATATTTTTGTTGTTATTATCTTGTGATCACTGTTTGTTAAACCTTCTGCTTTTCTGATATTTGCTTTCTGTAAACTTGATGCAAGTGTTTCTGACAGCCAAATGTAATCTATTTTTGTTACAGTCTCCTGGTTTGACCATGTGTATACTTCTTTTGTTGAATGCAAGTTTCTGTATACATCTATAAATTTTTGTCTTCTGAGCCAGCTAAATATTGGTAGTTTCTTGTAGCTTAATGTTTGTAGATGCTGTCTGTCTAGTATATTGTCTACTGTGTGATTGAAGTCACCTAGTACAATTACTTCTGTATATCTTTTCCTGTTTGTCACTACCTCTATGATTCTTTACTGGATTTTTTTACTAATTGACTTGTCATTTGGTGGAATATATACTTCCAGTACCACTAATTCTAACTGTTTAAAATATAATCTTACCTCAAACATGTATTCACTAACTCTTTTGACTGCTTCTATATGTTTTTCTTACTTTTCATCTATTAGAATTTCTATGCCTAAGCCTTTTTTCTTATTCACTACCACACTAGTCCAATATCCCTTATACTGTATGTTATAATTATGCAATAAGAATTTTTCTTTTTTTTCTGTAATGTTCATTTCCATGATTCCTACTATTGTTAGTTCTTCTTTTTCTGCTCATTCTAAGAGGTTTTCTACTTTCCATCCTCTTGTTTTAAGTCTGTTAATGTTGTAGCATGCAATTTTTATTTTTATTTTTTCTTGTTTTCATTTTTCTTTTAAGTGTTTGTACTTTGTTTTCATGTTTTCTATCTTCTTTTTCTCTTTTCTTTTTGTTTTTTTATTATATCCAGAAGATGCATCTGTATTTCTTTCTTTGAAAATTCTTTTTTCACTATGCAGAAACTCTCCAAACTCCTGATCTATGCTTATTAATTCAACTGTGGCACCATTAGAAGCAGTTGGCCAGTTCCTCTTCTGTCTTCCATCTTTCCATCTTGTCTTGTTTTGTTGTGC